GGGGGCAGGGGCACAGGTGTGCTCGGGGAGTGGGGGCAGGCCACAGGTGTGCTCAGGGTCTGACGAGTGGGACGGGTACATGCCCCTGGGTCTGGCCTGGTGCGCAGCGTCCAAGGTTGGGGGTTCAGGGTAGCAGAGTCAAAGGCACAGGCACTAGTCAGGGCATCTTCCTCATGTCAAAGTAGACCTGATACCTAATTTTATGTTTAGTCTTTGTTGACAGCAATCTCATTTTATCCTGAAATGTACATCTTTACACCGTTCCTGAGATAGTATATTTCTCTAAACTGGTTTCCTGCCTACGAATGAATTGCTGAAATTCTTTATTCATAACAAGTTCCTGAAGCCCTGTGATGGTTTCTTCTTTTCTGGAGAACTTGCAGCCCTTTCCCAAACTCCAGTCTTAGCATCACCTACCCTGGGATGGGCTCCTTGTCCCTCCAAGCAGATCAGGTCACTGTCTCCTCTGTGTTCCCCAAGAGCATGATTTGGACTTTGATTGTCAGATGAAGAAAGTCGTGTAAAGTGACTACCTGGTGCCTGGCTGAGAGCAGGCACTTGATAAATGAATTGTTTTCTTTTCCTTCACTGCTTCACGCATGGGTCCATCTCCTGCTGGGACTGGGGCTCACTGTTTGATTCCCTCGCCGTGGGCTGGGAGGTAGCTCTCTGCTGTCGGGCTCACCTGGCATTCTGGGGTCTGGTTCCAGGTTACCATCTGGAGCCACATGGCATTCGGCCGTTCCAGTTGGCAGTGGCACAGAAGCTCCTCTCCCACGTGTGTTCCATTGCGGACTCCAGCACTCAAAATCTGGACTTGGGATCCTTCGAGAAGGTGGACTTTCTCATTTGCATTCCACCCTCAGAAGTGACCTACCAGCAGACTCTATTCCACGTCTGGCATTCAGGTACGGGCCCTTTCAGGGACAAGCTGTGTGGCCTGCATGGAGAAGCTCCGATCTACCTAAATTCACACTGGAATGTTAATACCATTCTTTGCTATAGAGTGGGTAGGGCAAGTGTTATTGCTCCCATTTTATAGATTGTGAAACTGATGTCAGAGACAGAGACTTGCCCGAGATTTTAGAATCTGTTGAAGGTAAAGCCAAGACTTAAACTTTTGCTACATCCCAACACTAACTACGTGTTGATATTTGGCTTCCTCTGAATGGGTTTTCCCTGTTCTTTCAAGGATGTCGTATTTAGACGTGAAACAGAGAGTCAGCATCTTAACTGAAAGGACTTGCTCTGCAGTGGTGTAACGTGGGGCCCTGTGGCGCTCAGACTGAGCGGGGGACTTTGTAGGTGGTGGGACCTTTCCATCCCCTCCAGCCTCACCATGGCTGGGGTCAGCTGCTCCACACAGCTGGCTTTGTTGGTGTCCCCGGATGGGCTCCTGTGCACAGCAAAGCTGAAGCACAGCCTGCCTCTGCCCTAGCTCCTGTGTGGGACAGCTGCATGGCTGTCACTTGCACGGGGTCTCCTCCCTACCTCTCTCTGCTGTGTGTGTCCCCGAAGCCTCAGGCCTAGCTCGGCACCTGCTGTGTAGGAAACACCCATCTGAGCAGGTGGAAGCCGGGGAGCACGTCTGTGGGGCTGCTGATGTATCTTCACGGTGTTGCAGGGGTTTTGCTGGAGCTCGGCCTGGACAAGGAACATATGACCAGGCAGAGGGTAGAACAGCACGTTCTGAAGCTCGACACAGAGGCACAGACAAAATTTAAGGCCTTTCTGCACAACTCCTTCCAGAATCCACACACGCTTTTCGTCCTAATCCACGACCATGCCCACTGGGACCTTGTGAGGTTAGAGTGACTTGGTATATGACGGGTTGATGTTTTCCTTCTTTGAAATGATACAGGTGAATGTTGTTTGGGGCTGAGGATACAAGTCTTGAAAAGCTGGATGGTTTTAGGGCTTGGTACTTGTAAGCAGATGCCATGATGTTTTCCAGAATCTTAGTGCTGGAAGTTATCTCAGGGATCATCTAGTACAGCCTCTTAAATTTACCACCGTGGAGGCTTGGCGTCTTGGGGTGGGGCGGAGCTAGTTGTTGGTGGCAGTGACGGGCCTAGAGCCCAGGACTGGAAGTCACGGCCTGGTGCGCTCTCTCTATAGCCCACTCAGTAGCAGGGAGGCACGCGGGTGCGGGGTAAGGGGGAATGTGGGGTCCTGACGGAGCAGCTCAGCCCAGTCCCTCCCAGTACCGTGGTCATTGTTGGCACCTGGGAGGGTTTCTAGCTCACCAGGATCATCGCTGTGAGACTGGCCTTGGGGTTGTGCGCTCAGACACTGCCACCGATACAGGTGAGGAAGAAGGAGGCTCGTGGGCCCAATCCTGGACAGAGCCTTTGGTTATCATGATACTCGCAGACCCTTAGGGCTGGCCAGGCCCGAAGGATCGCCTGGGTGAAGGGTGTACCACCTGGGGTCCTTGTATAGGCTTGGGGAAGTTTGACATTCTGAAATTACAGAAAAGCTGTATTGCGAATATTCATTTTGGAGGTAGGTTTCTCAGAGTGGCTGCCTGCCATCCAAAAGGTTAAGCACCGTCTTGTTTTCTCCCATCACCTGTAGTTACAGCAGAGAATGCTGGGGCCACTGACTCGCAGAGAAAGGCTGAGCGGGGCCCGTCTTCTAGACGCCTTGTCTAAACTGCTTTCCGTTCCTTTAACGCTGCCTTTTAAATTTAGCATAGAAGTTACCATTTCATATCCTCTTTGGCCGTTTCAAGGTCAGAAGGACTTTAGGGAGAGAATCTAAGGAGGTAAATACGCAGATCAGGCCAAAGGTGAAAATGCAATTCACTTCGCACTCCTGGGTACAAATCACTGTTCTGGAGGAGTAGGTGGATTGCCTACCTCTTAAGAAATCCTTTATGGATGCTGCTCCCCCAGGTGAATTTTTCATCAGGAATAAGTATCAGGGGAGTCCCTGGCAGGTACCTGAAGTCTAGTCTTTTTTTTTTCTTTTCCTAGTCATGGGTAGAGCCAAAATTTTCAATTGTTGGCAAAGTCGAGAATTATTTATTCAACCGCTTTATCCTTGTAAAATTATAAAACAGTATTAGTAATTCCACTTATTGTTTCTTCTCCTTTCCTCCCTCAGTAGCACTGTTCATAACCTCTATTCTCAAAGCGACCCGTCTGTGGGATGGGTGGACAGACTGCTCAACTGCAGGGAGGTGAAGGAGGCCCCCAACATCGTGACGCTGCACGTGACGTCCTTCCCGTACGCGCTGCAGACGCAGCACACCCTCATCAGCCCCTACAACGAGATCCACTGGCCTGCCTCCTACAGCAGTGTGAGTGCCCTGGGGCCGCTGGGCTTGAGTCTGGAGAAATTATGTTTAGTAAAAATCTTCACCAGCGTGGTTGGGGATCAGTGGGTTCCAGCTCCTTGGATCTCTGATTCAACCCAGGGTTAGATTTAAACCTTTCTTTGTCTTTTTGGAAACCTTCCTGCAATAGAGCAGTTGGCTTCCCCATCTCAGGAGTCGTAAGGCAGGGCAGCTGGTTTGGCGTTTTCCCCAGCGGCTGTGGCTCTCTGAGCAGCCTGCACATTTGCTCTCACCGTGTTGGGTACAGCTGTTGCAGACAGAGCCCTGCCAGGCTGTGGGGATTTGGGCTCCGTACGGAGTGACTCTAAGTGTATCTAGAAGCCTTAGGAATGGTCCTGTTTTTCCTGTCTCTGCATCCTTGTGAGGTTCAAAATCTCCTTCTTGAAACTGAACACACATCCTCAAAACCTGGAGAGTTTAGTTTTAGTTTATCACCTGGCGTTGTCTCATCAAAACAAAACAGACTAAGACAATTCTGGTAATTCGAGAATTCTGGGTGGTTGGATTCTAGCTAATTACACACGGAATAAACATAAAATTTTAGACTTTTTCGGAGTGCCTCACAATCATCCGAGGAACTTTTAAAATAACCGATGCTTGGCTTCAGTCCTGTAGACTCGGAATCGGTGAGATGGTAGCCTGTGTCTGTGTGGCACTTGCGTGAGCCGGAGGCTCTGCTGGCAGTGCCTTGTGCTGTGAGCGCAGACAGAGCCAGGTGCTAGGGTGAGCTCCCATTGACAAACAAGGAAAATGAGCCGGAGGCTTGGGCCGCTTGCTGAAGGCCAGGCAGCGAGAGAGTGGTGGAGCCAGCATGTGACCTAGGCCACTGGCTCCATCGCCCTGGCCCTTAGCCACTGTGCTGTCTGGGGGTAGAGTTCACACCTTTGTATTTAACAGCCTTCCCCAGCTTTAGAATTTTATGTCAATGTGAGTAAAATTGGCTAGATAAGTGTGTTTTTTTCCCCATCAATTTTTAGTAGCAACTGAATGCAAGATAACGGATATAATTAATTTGCCTATTCCTAAAACTAGCTTAAGGTTGTGGAAAGAAGCAATTTTAAGAGAGAAAGTTGTACGTTAAAACAAAAGATAAGGTTAATTTTCTTCTTGGTGAAGATGTTGGGGACAAATGAATGGAAAACTCTTGACTGATGGGCATGTATCATCCTTAAAGCACAGGATGCTCTCTGCTCTGGGTCTGCAGGTAAATTTATCAAATGCCATCGAGGAGACTGCATAGTCGGCACAATTGGATCAAGATGCCGATGCAGGGTGTCCGCAGGCCTGGCACGAGGACCTCTGACCACCCCCGTGAGTGCAATGTTTGAGTGACTGACGCTCTTCTCTGTTTTAGGGAGTGGACTTATATCAGGAAAACAAGAAGTACTTCGGGCTGTCAGAGTTCATTGAATCCACTCTTTCAGGACACAGCCTTCCCTTGCTCAGATACGACAGCTCCTTTGAGGCCATGGTCACTGCGTTAGGAAAAAGGTACATGTCTCTCTTCGGAGGTACTGGAGGTGCTCAGTGACTCAACATGCAAGCTGAGGTGTGTTTGGCCAACCCAGGAATTCCCAGAGGGGAGTTCACCTTCCTTCCTTCCTTGGTGACTCAGTCTCTCTGTTAAAGTGACCCTGGTTTATTTCTTCTGCGTTTGAGTCTCTTTGGGTCAGTTATATTTTTGTCATGTTGTTGCTCCAGAAAATTTTAGAGATGAGAATGGGTAGAAGTCCGCTGGCAGGTGGAGTTGTGTTTGCCAATTAATGGAAGGCAGGAAAATGGGAGGTAAGGTACCGAAAGATTTAAAGGAAACAAGAGTGATGGTATTAGTTGGCTTCATTTTTATTTCTGATGCGTATCATCTATCGAGTGCTTATTTTGTGCCGTTCACTGTTCCGTGAATCTTACTGCATTGTTTAGGTCCTCACTGCCTCTCTAACCAGTTGCTACTATTATCCCCATTTTGCAGATAGAGAAACTGAGGCTCACAGAGGCCCCATAAGTTTCTCAGGCCGCATGTCTAGCAAGTGACAGAACTGGGTGAGATCCCGGATCAGTCTGACTGCATAGCCCTTTTAATAACGGACCTCATTACAGATGAGGAAACTGAGGCTCAGAGAGGCTCAGTGATCGGCACCGTCCATGCAGTCCATATATGGTAAAGCCAGGCCCAGTTTTACAGACTGTCTAGTGCAAGGCAAAAGGAGTGGCTCTGCACTGACTGTCGGCGCGAGCCGGTCCCTGCCGACCCCTCCTCGTTGCCCTCATTCTTCCCATGCGTAGACAAAAGGATCAAACTAGACACATACTTCTCAAGCTGTGTTCCACCCTTTGAGAAACTAAGTCTCTTAGATACCTTTCAAATCTATGATTCTGATAGAGATTAATCAGGCCAGTTTTCCAACTCAGGGATTGGCAGCTGAGCTCTCATCAACTTGTTGAGCAAGGAAGCCCTCTGAGATTTTACATCGAGGCTCTGAGGAACCAGCCTTTGCCCTTGCTCTGCTTCCCTGCCAGCTTCCAGCTTCCCCTTAGGCAGTGAGTACACAGGGGTGCTTAGGATGCTGTAGGCATTGGGCTTGGCGCTTTATGGTTATTGCCTAAAACCATCACAGCTGCATGGTAAGGTAGCGCGTACTGTCATTCCCATTTTGCAGATTAAGAAACTGAGACTTAGGTCACTTTGCCCAAGGTCACATGGGGGGATTATAGCAAAGCTGGACCCAAACCCTGGTCACGTGGCTCCAAAACTACATAACCACCAAGCCATACAAGGTCTCTAGTAAACTCGGGAAGGCCAGGCTCGACCACTGTGCTGATACATCTTGGCCTTGGCAAATCATTTAACCTGTCTAAACTTCTGTACCCTCACCTGTAGAACAAATCCACTTTCCTAGCAGCAGCTTATGAGAGTTTCATGAGATAAAGTACACGCTGAGAGCTCAGGCTCCAAAATCATCCCTCCTGGGTTTGAATACTGAGTCGACCACTAACCAGCTGTGAGACTTTCAGACAGGCTCTCAATTCCCTATGGGGAGGATCATATCTACTGCACAGGGATGTTCTGAGGATGAAAGGAATACCTGGCACGCATCACAGGCTCCTCCTGGCTGCTGCCACCTCCACTGCCATCATCACGGTTCCCTCTCTTCTCCCTTTCCCTTTGCTAAACTGGAAATATTGCATAGAGATCAAATTTGTACATTCCACTGAGTGAGAAGACAGTATAAAACCCTAGGTTGTTGAGACATGGAGAATCGTAGGAACTTCCAGGAGTAATATAGCCCAAGCACCTCATTTTAGAATTTTGAAGCCCAGAGAAGGGGGAGTGATTTGCCCAAGTTCACACAGCCTATTTGTGGCAAGCTGCACTATAGCCAGGCTCGATGTTGTTTCCACCAAACCCTGCTGCCTTTCCTAGGAATCATCTCTCTGGGAAACTCTCTTGAAACTGGTAATTTGAACAGAATGAGATAAAGGTAACAACACAGCTTACCTCCTCTTGCTACCGTGTGCGCGGCCAGACTGCTAGTTCACCGTGTATCACAGACACGGCACATAGCTGGGGAGTCTGCTTGTAGGGCTACAAATCTGACACAAACCTACTGCGACTGAAAAATGAAAGATCTAGACATTTAACAATTCTAATTTTTATTCCGGTATGTTGTCTGTGCAGCTGCCGTCCTTTAGGGCCTTACCATAAAGGCGTAAGGGTGGGCCTAGTTCTCTGTGGAGCCACAGATGGGGCACATTTCTGTGCCTGACCTGTGGGTGCTGTTTGGAGCTGGGCACTAGTTCTGCCTCCAAACGCTCTTTCTTTCTTTTTTCTTTTTTTTTTTTAAACACAATGTCTTTAGTGAGGAATGACTGACATGCAGTAGACTACACATACTTAAAATAGTCAATTTTTTTTTTTTTTTTTAGAATCTCACTCTGTCACTCTGGGCTGGAGTCTAGTGGTGTCGTCATAGTTCACAGCAACCTCAAATTCCTTGGCTCAGGAGATCCTCCTGCCTCAGCCTCCCAAGTAGCTGGGACTACAGGGTGCATGCCACAAGCCCTGGCTAATTTTTCTATTTTTTTTGTAGAGATGGGGGTCTCACTATGTTGCTCAGGCTGGTCTCAAACTCCTGGCCTCAAGTGATCCTCCTGCCTCAGCCTCCCAAAATGCTAGGATTACAGGCACGAACCACCGTACCCAGCCTCTTTGTGTCTTCGTATTTAAAGTTAAGTTTCTTGTAGGCAGTATATAGTTGGGTCTTGCTTTTTTATTCATTCTGATAATCTCTGCTTTTTAATGGAGATGTTTAGACCATTTACATTTCATGTGGTTATTGATAAGGCTGGGTTTAAATCTACCATCTTGCAGTTGGTCTCATCTATTTTTTATTTTTTCTCTCTCTCAGCTATAACTCTTTGTTGTGATCTTTAGTGGCTGCTTTACAGTTTATAGTATATATCTTTAACTTATAGTCTACTTTCAGGTGATATCACACCACTTTATGTGTAAGATTCTTACGATAGTATATTTCTATTTCTCCTTTCCTAGGCTTTGTATGTTGTTGGATACATTTTACTTATATATGTTATAAACTCCACGATAAGTTATTTTTGCTTACACAATCACCTTTTAAAGCTATTTAAATAATAAGAAAAATACCTTTTACATTTATCCACACGGTTACTATTTCTAGTGTTCTTTATTCCTTTGCGTAGATCCAGATTTCCATTGGTATCATTTTCCTTATATCTGAAAAACTTCCTTTAACATTTCTTGTAGGGCAGGTCTGCTGGATGAATTCTTTCAGCTTTTGTGTGTCCAAAAAAGTCGTTATTTTGTCTCATTTTTGAAAGACATTTTCCCTGGTTATAAAATTCTAGGTTGAATTTTATTTTTTCTTTTTAGTACATTAAAGATGTTGCTTCACTGTCTTCGGACTTGCATTGTTTCAAACAATAAACCTGCTATCATCTTCACCCTTTTTTTCTCTCTATGTAATCATGACCCCCCAACTGGCTGCTTTTAAAATTTTAAAAATTTATCACTCATTATAGGCAATTTGATTAAGATATGACTTATTGTAGTTTTCTTCATGTTTGTGCTTGACTTAATTGGGTTTTCATCAAATATGAAAAAATTTTA